AGCATCCAGTATTGCTGTCTTCATGCCAGGTACTATCACCTGGTTCCAAGCATCTGCCTGCCCCAGCTGTGCCAGGTGTGCCTGGAACTGCTTGTTGGACCAGATTCTGTCAGAGGGTACACGGGGGTCCTGGTGTGGTGATGTCTTATACAGCATCTGGACTGAGACGTTGCAGAGGTGCCTGGCACTGGGGCAGGGAAAGCGGGACTGGGTTAGCAGGGTGTGGGGTGCTGGGTGGGGGCACTGGGGGGGGGGCACTCACCGTTCCAGGCCTGGCGGCGCTGGGAGAAGGGGCGGGAGCAGAATCGGAGGTCGCAGTCTTGGTAGAACCAGACGGTCAGTGGCTTCCCGTCAGTCACCACGAACCATTGCCGGATGTCGAATTTGGTGCCAAAGATGGTCAGTGGCCGCTCCACGTACTTCTGCACCACCCACTGGCCCACCCGTCCCAGGGATGTCATGCAGCCTTCTGCCTGCTGCAGCACTTCCTCCAGCCGTGTCACACAGACAATGCCTGGGGAATACAGTGATAATGGGAACCCTTGGCATTGGGGAGCCAGTGTGTGCCCCCTGCTTCCCTCAGCCTTACCTCTGCCTTGGGATTGGGCGCCAGGCTTGAGGATCCAGATGTTTAGGTCACCCTCTATGCCAAACTGTGGCAGCTGCTCTGCCAGGCACTGCAGCAGGTCCCGGCACTGTTTCTGCTGCTCCCTGCTCAGTGCCAGCCTGGCTCCCTCACTGTGGAGGAACATGGAGGGTTCAGCATCAGCCCTGCTACGGTACCCCTCATCCCCCTGTCTCGTCCAGCACTCACTGTGCCACGCGGTAGTAGTCCTGCAGGAACCGGTCCCAGTCAATGCATGTGCTGCAGGGTGATGGGGTGTTTCTGTCGATGTCCTGGTGCCCCAGGATGCCCAGGTGCTGCTCGCACACCTTCAGGGCATCCTCCACCAGACTGGGAGACAGGGGGGACCCTGGCCTTGCTGTGGATGGCATGGGTGGCTCCTGTGCCAGCCTTGGGGCCAAAGCACAGAGCCTTCCTGTGGGATGGGTGGCTTTGGGCGCAAGGGGATGGCAACAGAGGGTGGAGCACCCATGAGGTGTGCTGGTTGGAGGGAATGGGGAATCCCAAGCCACAGCCATGAGCAGAATCTCAGCCTCCAAGCTCAGCCCCCAGACATGTCCCTAATCCTGATTCCCTGTCATCCCTCCTGGCCCAGCTCCGTGCACTCACCTGGCTCCTTGTTGGATTTTGGGGGCTGCTTTTTCCCCACTGGCTTGTCCCCAGCCATCTCCAGGGCCAGTCTGAGCAGGCTGCGAGCTGCTGTCAGGCGGAAATCCTCTGCAAGAGGCATCATACCCAGTCAGTCCTGAACAGGGCGTAGGAGGAGTGTGAGGACGAGGTGGGACAGTAGGGCAAGAACCCCCAGCTCACCGATGAAGGCTTTGTGTTCCTCAGTGGACCCCAGCAAGTAGCACCGGGGGAAGAAAGTACTGGCATCTTGACTGAACCAGTGCAGGTCTTGCAGGCTTAGGCACAGTCCCTTCTGTTTAGAGAAAGTTGTCAGTCTCTGCTGGACACCCCCATCCCTTGTGTCCCCCATCCCTGAGGCCTCCAGGCTCCCACCTTGGTGGCGAAGGCTTGCACCCGGGAATAGTGGTTCACCACCTGGACCTGCTGCAGCAGCTCATGGTCAACAGCACCAAGGTTGGTGGTCCAGATGAAGTTTGGCAGCTGGTTCCGCACCAGATAGGACTGCAGGAGGGAGGGGACTGGGGTGAGCTCCATCCCACCCTTGTCCACGGCACCTGGGGGTCCCGGGGAAAGGGTACAGGAGGCTGTGGCAGAGCTCAGCTCTAGCCCTCTCAGCTAACCATGAGGTCATGGATGCCATCAGGGTCCTCATTGCACTGCTCTTCATCTTCGTCTTCCTGCTCCTCCTCATTCCTCAGGGAAGGCTGTGCCTCAACATGCAAGTTCAGCACTGCCTCCCCTTCCTCCCCCTCCTCATCACCATCATCACTGGGCTCCTCTTCCTCCAGCTGCTGCTCCTTATGGTCACCAGGCTGCTGCTTCAGCTGTCTGTCCATGCTGGGGAGCTTCCTCTCCACCCACCCCCAGGACCGCAGCAGCCTGCGGATGATGGGATAGGGGCCCTGCACTGCAAATATCTTTTTCTCCTGCAAGGAGACTAGAAGACTCAGCCTGCTCCACTCCTGGTTCCTCAGCTCATCTCTGCTGAGTCAGAAATGCAGTAAATGCAAGCACATGGCATTTGGGGGTGTGCAAAATCAGGCTTCTTACCTCAATGGCCTTCTTCACACGCAGCCTGGCCTGGTTGAGCTGCTCAGGGTCAATCAAGGGCCGGCGGCCACTGCAGTGGCCAGTGGTGGTGGCTGCCACCTGCCCTGTGAGGACAGCCCCATCTGAGCCTGCTGGCCCTACATCCACAGCCCCATGGGGCAGGCAGGGACAGGGAAAAGATGCTTACTTATCTGCATTTGCCTTGCCCCAGGATGCCCTGCTGTGCTCTTGTCCCCAGCCTGCTGCACTGGGGGCTGGCTGGCAGATCTCCTCCTGAAGTGTTGGTCCTGGCTGGAGGGCTGTGTGCCCACAGTGCTGCTCTTGCTGTGACTCTTCCCATGGTGGTGTGATGGTGAGGTGAGCTGTTGGTGGCTCTGCCTCCTCCAGGCCATATTTCCTTGCCTCACTAGAGCCTGAAGTGGGTATCTGGTGCAGGGCCCAGCACTACTGTGACATCACAGTACAGGATGCAGCCTGCCAAGCCCCAGCACCATGGTGACAGCCAGATTGTTATACATGGGGAATCAAAGGAGTTTTAATGTTAGAAAACATATGAATGTCTTAAACAATTTGACTCATTATGCCATTGGGGAATTAAATACTCAGGTACAATCAGTACCAAAAATGGCGTTACAAAACCCGTTAGCTTTAGGTATGTTGTTGTTAAAAGAAAATGGGGTACGTGGAATGTTAAATTTGACCAAAGGGGAATGCTGTATCACCATTTGTAATGGCACTGCCTCCACAGAAAAGGCACAACAGATGAAGGAGATTTTAACATGTATTTTCCTGGGAAAAGTTTTATGTTGGGGTGAAAAATAGCCTCAAATAGCCAGACTGTTACAGAGGGCATATCAAAAGCAGCCATTCCATGAAGTATACTGAGCCAGCTCCAAGATTTAGAATCACATTGTTATAAATTGCGGCCCAATAAATTGGCAGGAGCCAGTTCAATTAGGAAATTTATTGATTGAGCAAGGCTTCAGCAAGCCAAACAGCGCTGGGCGGCCGGGGAGTCTCTGCTCCGCCAAGGGCGCACACCCTGCCCCACAGCCCCCAGTTTGAGACTCTTCCGTTTCCCGCTCCATGTAGCTCTTCCGGTGAGCTCTGCGCCTGCGTGAGCTTTTGCTAGGGATGCTGTTCCCGCTGTTGCTAGGG